TTCAACAAGAGCAACATCGAAGAGAACATAATGACGTTGAAGTTGTTGAAGTTCCACAGTACCTCAAACAAAATGTTAGGAAGGAAACTCCCATCAAAACTTTAAAATACGATAACAGCTACTAAACTGGAGACAGTGATGTGCAGTGGTTTGGTGATGTTTGGGCAAACTCCTTGACTCCATGCATCCATGACCCACGTAATGGGTTTATAGGACCTAGTACTGAGAAATGTAAGGAAGTAAGACATTTTAAATAAGTAAAAACAGATAAAACATGAATTAAACACTTTATTCAAATTAGATATGAATTAAATGTGATTGGATGCTTTCCTGATATAAATGCCAGTGGTCGTCACACCCACTTTTCTAATTTTGCACTGGAAGAACCTAGTTTTTAAAAACTTGTTTTAAGAGGAAGATTTAATAAAAATTAAACCGATAAAAGCACTGGCTTCTTGCTCAATAAAGACTAATTATTTCCTTATAAGGAAACAGCTAATATTACCATTACCATCCACACTTATATAGATATACATAGAAACATACAAATATATATTTCAATTTATATCTACATATACACATGTACACAACTCTATAAATTTCAACTGAGTAGCCAATGAATGCCGAACGTTTCCATATAAGGAAAAGCTTAATGTTACCATTACACTGAGGCGACCCTGAGAGAGTTACAGGATTCATTATTGGTGATCACTATCATCGGTATTATATTTAACTATCTGATCTATGTCACTTTCTACATGCTTATGTGGCTATCACTTTCTCTTGACACTCTCTCTTAATGGCATACATTTTCTCAATCCTTCCCTCTTTCTATGTTAGATAACGCATTGAACTTTTATGCAATATCAGTCTTTCTATATGGCAATGGATGCTGGAAAATCTCCTCACATATGAAGAATAGTTGAATCAACAGCAATGTGGTTCTACAGAAGGATGCTGAGAATACCATGGACCGAAAAATTACGAAGCTTTAGAGAAAATGGAAACAAAATGGAGATTTTACTTACTACCATGAAGGTATAGTTGAATTTCCTGGGGAACCTAATGAGGAAAACGGGTTTGGAAAATTTGATACTCTCAGGACAAAGTAAGGGTATAGAAGAAAACAAAGCTTAACCTACCTATTAGGCATGAGTAAATGATGGAACAAAGTTTAGGAGAGATAACAAATAGACAATTTATTAAGAGATACAAAGGACAAGAAACTGTGGAGAGCCATGATTACTAACGACACCTAGAAGTATATCAGCCCCTCCCATACACTGTTTAACATAAATTGTGTTTATCTTTGAGTGTTGCTTTTCAATACATTAAGTCTTACTTTCCATTTTTAGTTGGTAATAGACCCATAGTTTGTACTAAATCAGAACTTAATATGAATTCTCTCGTATTTCATGTGTGTTTTCTTTCCCCTATCGTCCGGTAGTATTTACTTGACTCCCACGAGGTCAAGATGTGACACAAGGTCGTTTTTCGTGGGATTACTTGACTCCCACGAGGTCAAGACGTGACACAAGGTCGTTTTTCGTGGGAAAAACCCAAGCGTTTCCGCATAGGGTCACTGGTCAAAGATTGGTCATAACATGTCCAAGCTGGTCAAGGCTTAGTCAATGTTTTGGTCATAACATGTCCAAGCTGGTCAAAGCTTAGTCAAGTTCTGGTCCTGATATGGTCCAAACTAGACTTTGCCATGGTCGCAACCCAGCCCGAAGGCCGGGCTGCTCCCCTATCGTCCGGTACACACACTTTCCATATCCATTTAGCAGGAGTAAAGTTTCCTCACTTTTTCCCTGATCAGGATATGGTTTACCATTCTGTCTTCTACCAGGATCACAATGATTTAACTGTCTCCACTTTTTGTTAATCTGGCTAGTCAGTGGCTGTGATTTCCATTGTAGGGATACCAGGTTGGCATTTTGCTGGCTGCTGCTGACGACTAGTTGTTAGGAGCCTGAAATCTTTGGTAGCGCTTAGAGAGGCTGCCCTAATCTACAATTGCACAATATCGGGGTATCTGTAGTACAATGTCACGCATGAGTAGGGTAGGTGTCCCCCATGCATGTGTTTCCGGTGCGCAACCCTAAGACCACGTTAAGCTCTGCTCTAAGCTACGCACTGGCTGGTTTGTATTGCTATTGACGACAGACAGTGACAATTATGGTGCTCTTTTTTCTCTCTTTTCTCAAAACATATATCATGGAAGTCACAAAAAAAAAGAAATAAATCTAAACCAGCTAACAAAGAAACACCTACCCTCTCAATTTTCTTTCTTCAATATTCGTGGAATTCGTTCCAAGTTCTGCGACGTAGAATCTATTCTAGAACGGTCACCAGATATATATTGCCGTTTGTGAAACTAATTGAATTCTTCCATTTCTACCAATGTATTCTTGGTTCCAGAGTATCTTCCTCTTTGCCAAAAAGATTCCAGCATTCACATGCATGACCTTGGTGTTTACATTCTGGATAATCTTCCGATGGCCAGAGAACTGTCTCTCAAGGCCGCCGCCGACTCTTTCATGTGCTTCAGTCTTTCGTTACTTCCCAAGATTGCAGTATATCAGACGTAATAGCTGTCAGTATAGAAAAGACGCTTTCTCTCCATCTACGAACATCTTCGTCTTCGGTGACTTCAATGCTCTCACCACGACACGTGGCTGAAACATTCTAAAGGTATTGATGTTTCCGGTATACAGACATTAAATTTTCCCATTGCTCAATCTCTCACTCAAGTCCTGGACATACCTAGCCCTTTCTCTAGCTAAACTGAGCAACAGGCTTCTCTAAGGGATCTATTTCTACCTCCTCTCTAAGCTGTTGCTGAGTTTCACAATACTACCCCCTTGGTAACTCGGACTACGCTGTGGTAGCTCCTTCCTATCAGAAACTCCCTATCCATAGGACCTCCTTTCATATTCAGCACGCTGATTGGGACTAATTCCGGGATTTTTTTTTGTGACGCTCCTTGGACGGATATCTTAAACCTACCAATTAGAATTTGCGTCACTGAAGTTTCTTTGGGGTCCAAGCCGGCATGGATGCTTTCATTCCTTCTCGGAAATACGAGGTGAAACGGCAATCCTCTCCATGGTTCACACCAGCCTGCTCGGTCCTTACAGCACACAGGAACCACTAATCCCGGCTATACTAGCATGACAGTTCTTGTCATAACAGGGGCCTATTTGCTACCGCCGTAAAAAATGTAAGAGAGTCCTCGAAGGATCTCAGTCCCTGTTTTCTGGCGTCTCTGTAATAGGGTAGTAATTAAGTGCAAGGTCTCTATTCTCCGCCTCTTCAATCGATTTGAGGTGTTATCGTCTTCTGCTGATAAAGCTGAATGCTTTTCCTGTAAATTCACCTCAAATTCTATTCTTGACTCATCCGGAGTACCCCTGTCTAATTTCCCATTTAGAATTCAGTCTCTGTTGTGTGATATGCATATAACATTTTCCATGGTCATTGCTATTATCTCTAACCTTGATCACCACAAACCATGTAGACCCGATGGTATCCCTGTAATAGTCATTAAGAAGTGTGCTCCCGAAATTGGTCCTGTTCTCTCTGAACTCTATAATAATTGCCATGCTGCCTCCTGCTTTCCTGTCTGTTGGACGTAATCGTCTGTTGTTCCAGTTTTTAAGATCTCTGATGAACCGCCTGGTCCATCCAACTGTCAGTCTATTAGTCTTCTACCTCTTTTGGGGAAACTCCTAGAGACCCTAATTTAATGCTGAATTGGTTCATTATTTCTCATCGCAGTACCTTTCGTTTGTCCAGGTCAACTGCTTATATATTACAATTGGAATTAAGATAATATTAATACTGTGTGAATGTTAAATGAGAACTGAACATAGATTCTTCACTTAACCTGTGTTGATTATCACAAGATTGCAGCTTGAAAACGCTTGTTGTGGCTAGCGGTTTCAATCTGTGTGTGTGTATAGAGAGAGAAAGAGCGAGAGAAATATAGTTTTAAGGTGTGCTATATTTATGGGATAAAGTGCTCAATATCAGAGATTGTTATATCTCGTGCAAGATATAATAAACACAGTAACTCGAGTGTTGGTTTTCAATCGGATGTAGGTGTGCCAGAGACAGAGTCGGGAGTATGCTAACCTCAATAGGGGTTAACAAACGAAGACTTGACGACTGTCCGCTGTGGTCGTACTTAATCGGCAACCAGTCCGTCCATTATCGTGAATGGGGAAGTTGGGTTATCTCATCACAACAGAGATAGAGCGTATATAAATATAAAAGTGAACATTGAAGTCAACACTGAGAGGCGTCAGGCGCCTAGCATTAAACAGCCTCTCGCCTCTCAGTGTTGACTTCAACGTTCACTTATATATACACGTGTGTGTGTATATATATGTACATATAACACATCTTCAAGATGTAGTTGATCATCATGTCTGTACAACTTTCTTCCTTTCACTACATGACATTGGGTACGAATTTCTCCATCCTTTTGCTCAAACCTTTCAGGTTGATTAATTGTTATGTTCTTGTTTCTCTTAACTTAGTCACCTTATGAGTTTTATGTTCTCCAAGCATTTCTCAAAATTGCTGTTGTGTGTTTTTGTTAACCATTTCTTTTGTAGTTCCTCACCATCATCAGTTCACCGTAACCAATTAGGCATGCCACATGTCAGGCGAACGCTGTGACTAGAGTAAGATATTTTGACAGACATTATCCTTCTTCAGGCCGCTTTTCGAATTCAGAATTGTCGTCAATAGTTGTTATCCAAGAAAAAAAGAACCCTGTCTGCACCGTTATTTAACCCATTGGTTGAGGGAGAAAAGATGGATCGTCAATTGTTTTCATGTTCTGTGTTTTAAATGTTTCAGTAAAACCGCTTCTTTTTGCTTCAAGTATTTTCATTGTAAAGGGTGCGGCAAAAATACCACCCACTTATACCTTCCGAAATACCTTACAGATTATTGTAAGACATTACCTATAATGCTAACGGCTCCATCACGTTGAAATACCGGTTTCCATACGATCCCCGAAGTTAAGAAACGTCGAGCCTGGTCAGTACCTAGATCGGTGACCGCTTGGGAATACCGGCTGTAATGGATAATGGCTCGGAATTGTTAACCGGCGAGCAGAGTTCAAATTCCAGGTGGGTTCGTTAAATCCACTTACACGCGTATATCCTCGGGAAACTTATGAATCCACATCTTCTTCCCCTAGGTATGGGTTAATTAGTAAGGCTTTTATCGCTAAACCGTTATTACCTCCCAAACATTATTTCAATCTAAAAATATTTTCTGGCTTTAAATAACTTGCAAAGGGTTGATAAGCCATAGAATACAAATGAACCAAACAAAATTAAATAGAGGAAGACGCAATTGCACTAATGTTTTACCATTATATGAGAGGTATATTTCAGAGTTCTTTCTTCTTCACACTGTATATGACAAAATTACCCAGTATTACCTATCATATTATAGATTGGACATTACATAGATATCCAGCCCTCTTTTATTCATTGTAATGTCTTACTAGCAACATCCCTTGGAGCGTCTTCGTTTTATTTAGTGACTGCACTGGTCGGCAAATATTACTTTACATACTGATAGATGCGCGAAGTCTTTTCAAAATATATATACGTATGCGTTTATGAATTAATTTTTTAAAACGGAGAAGTTTCAATCATTACATTGAAATCATTGAAGTCGAATTTATACGTATTGGCATTCGCATTTAAAAAAAGAAGTCATTTGAAGCATACTTTCTGTCCTGTCTAATTAACTAATATTCCTTTCTGGAGAACAATAAAAAGACAATTCCTTTCCATATACCAAATAAATGTTTTCCATTCAGCTGACAATGGAACTAATTTGGCCAAACTTCTCAAAGAATAAAAAAAAAAACAGTCACTTATTTAACAGAACTGCCTGAGTCGGTGAATTCAAATAAAACACGAATACTGAACACTTGCATAGTCGATAGTAATTTAATCTTACCTTCTTTACGAAATTACTTACGATTATTGGGAGTCGTTAGAAAGTTATATGACTATATTGGTTACTCATCGGCTAGATGCCTTCTGGACAGACAACATATACTCTGAAATAGATAGTCTCGCCTATCGTACGGTTCAGACTCCTCCCCGATTTTTTGAAAAGTAGACGTATATCCTTTGTTTCCTGTTTAGGATTGGGTTTCTGGTTACTTCAATTCTTTACTTCTGACGTCTCTGAAATATTAAATTTTATTCAGTAATTATTTCTTTTTCCTCTCTTAATAGAAGTCGATAGGTTTGCCTATCGTCCAGTTCCGACTCCTCCCCGGTCTTTTGAACAGGATTAGAGGATTAGCACTTGTTTCCTACTCAGGACTGGTTATCCGATTCCTTCTAAACTCTACTTCATCTCTATATCCTTAACATCTCCGCCTGAACTTTTAAGAAAAATTATTCGCTATTTAAAACTTGACCTCTTCAAGTCTAGAATTAGTTGTCTATATTTCCTGTTATCTTGCCCTTTCTTATACTAATACAACTCCACACAGTAACCCTCTACCTTGAGTGGTTCTTGGGGCTTTTAGTGGGTGAGCATTAGTTAAAAAAAGTTGATTAAACACAGACTCAATTAAAGTATATTCAGAAACGAATGAGAAAATAGTTAATTCAATCATTTTATTTAATTAGCACCTTTTGCGCCAATCTGGTCCTAACTCCCCCCCCCCAATCACATAACTGTGGTTCATGATGACATTCAAGGTAGAATAATGTAATGGCTTGCTGGTTCCTTTTACACCGGGAATGTTATGGTTAGCCCGTCCCTCCTCTCAGAGGTGGATTTGATTTTTTTAAGTTACCTAAAGAGGCATTACCATTACCGCAGAAAGAAATGGCAACCTACTGCGGGAAAAATATGCCTCGTCAGTCATGTATCGAAAGATACATGATCGCCTAAGCGTGTATCCCGCATGGCACATAACTGAAAAAAGCATTATTTACAAGGCAGCAGGTGGTTTGAATTCAGCGTTTTTTTTCTCCTAGACTGGTTGCCACCCAAGGCAGTCCTGTTATTTTACCCATAGACTTAGATGGACGCATACCCTCCCCAATGGTATTAGCACTTAAGTGAATGTAGTGAATTCGACAGGAATTCGAACGCGGCTCTCCGATTCGATAACCGTTACGTCTCCGTGCCTCCGATTTCGAAGTTAGCATGAAGTAAAAAAAAAAAAAAAAAAAAAGACTTGTAAGAGGTTTGGATTATATTTACCAGTCTATATCTACCATTTATCTACTTACTAAAAGAGAATCTACGAAATCTTACTTATAAAACCAATGAAACGCTTAACCATATTTAAGAAGATTACAACCTGGAAACTTCGAATGAGCATGCGCTGATCTCTTTGATTACGTGTATATTTTTTTTTTTAAATCTCGATTTATATGTGTAAAATATTAAACGGCTTCTGATAAATGCTTTTGGATCTGCCTTAAAAAAAAATCTTATCTTCCAGAAACATAAATCGATCTAAAAAATTATCCGACATAAAATGCTGCAACATTACTTAACAATATGTAGATTATAATCCGTATGCCGAGATGATTATTTAAATGCGTTATTCCACATAAGAAAAAAAAATCTCATTTAAGTCTTGCCAGATTAATATTTCTTATAATCCCGTTCATTTCCCTGTCAGCGATCTAAACTCATGCAAGGATACTTACCTAGAAAATCAACATTGGAAATTCTGACTTTTATCTGAGCTGGCGCCCAAATATCTGGTGTCATTAGAAAACACTCTCGATATTTAAGTTTAGTCTTGTAGTGGTACGAATATTGTAAATGATATCATCGCTGAACGGGGCTGGTCCGTTGCGTTTACTTTCGCTGATATGGCCTTGGAGATGTAAAAATTTGTTTCTTCTCCCCAGCAACTATGGGTAAAATAACAGGTAGACTGAGCTCTCTAGCCTTGGATGAGACACTATCCCATACAGAGAAATTATAACATATGAATACAACAAACAGTATAAAAGTGCGAGAAGCAAGAGGGTCTTACTTGTAATATTTTCCAAGCGAAAAAAGGACAGACTGATGGTTTTCTCTATGATATTTTGCGTGAGCGCGTGGTTTCCATTTTGTTTTCTTAAGTGCAGTGGGCAAAAATGTCTTGCCCATCCGCGGTCTACATTGCAGCTGAGATTCGTCAATCCCACAACTTACGTCGCTCACCGGCCGTCACGTGACACTCGGAAGCGGTTATATACAGCTGACAGTTTAGATATTTCTTAACGGGTTTGGCGCTATGCATAGCATCCACTGGGAAGTCTCGAGCTGATAAAACTATTCAATATGGCTCTCGTTTTCAGGTTGATGTTTTCGTCGAGTGAAATAAACCCGAAGTCTTTCATTGATTCTGATTTTTTCCTGTGTGAATAACAAAATGTTCAGTGTTTTATTCCGAATCCTACAGTATTATTCAAGTGTCGAGGCTACTCTCTATGCATATCTGCGTTTGAGATAAATTCAGTCAGGATGCGAGCTGTTCAATTTGAGGTTATGATAACCTAAATCTAGTAAAAATATAAACACTTGGCAGGATTTCTAAATAACTGAAATCAATATTATCTCATCAGTTAGCTATATTTTGTATCATTTATTTTAAAAAGGACACTGGCAATATTTAAAAAACTGGTTTCCAAGCTTTTGGGGGATTGCTGCCTCCTTACGTATAAAAGCCCAACCCTAACCCTAACCCATCTATATTGACACAATCTTAACGCTCCCACAAATGTATAGTCAACCTGAGATTGTATGTTTTTGTGCTAGTATTGCATGTCAAATGAGTATCTTAGTATTTCCCTATAATTGTTCTATAAATGGGATGCACTATCAAGTGAGATTAATATACACTTCAGGTACAATACGTGCGTGTGGTGTATGTTATGGTTCAGCTGTGCCACTATCACCTTCCTGTTGCCCACCTTTTCCTTACAGCCTCTTGGACCTTTCAACGGATCTCGGAGGACGTTACCGTCCACTTTGGGGATCATTCTTATACATTTCTATGTTTATACATTCTTTTTATAGATATAAACATTTAAGTAAATGCTCTGTTTATAATAAACGGTATTAAACAAAATTTACCGGCCTGAATATCCGAGAAATTTTTCATAGAAAATATTCGTCCTCCGACAGGAATCGAACCTGTATCCTATACGGAACCATCATTTAGCCTGACGTGCCTTAACCGATTCGTCCACAGAGGAGCGTTCGGTTAGCAAGGTCGATTTTACTGTCTTTAAACTAGAATCTTCCATGATTCTCTCACGTACATTCATCTCTGCTCATGTATAAAATGTAAACAAATGACGTCACACATTATGAAATGGACAAAGTCCGACATTTTAAGAATTTTTTTAAAGAATTTTAAGAATTTTTATGCTTAGTCCCTTCTTCTCGCTCTCCTTCGCTACCTTCTGTAATTTCTTTTCCGTGTCTGCTGCTAGAAATTTAGTCAGTCATAAGACGCATTCAAGCAAACAATGTCTAGATTTATTATAATATATATCAATCTCCCTTCATTCGATCGGCCACTTGTAACCGGGAATGAACTAGGATACCTTCAGTTTAACACGCTCCTTGTTCGCTAGTAGCAAGATACGGTGGATATAATTTATATCATGGCAAATATACGAGTATAAGACAATTTGGAAAACACTGAGAAAATTTTATTTCAACCAAATCTACACTAGTCAGATAGAATGTGATTTATGTTAATCATATGAAGGCTGTCTGTTTTATTTGACCTGTATTTTATATTCATTTCACCCCAAGCAAGGCAAGAAAGCCATTAAGGTGCTGGAGGTTAGGAAATATGACAGAAAAGGTGAAAAATTATTTAAAATAAAAGAACAAAAATTTAAAAGACAAGATAACGATTGAAATTGCATTTACATTTTAAAGATCAAATTGGACTGGAAACCAAGAAACTGGAAGCACGAATGAGAAATTCGAGAAAAGAAACTGTTAGCATAAAAATTATGGTTACATCTTAACATCTTATATATAGATAACTTTATAATATATATATATATA